TGATGAAATAGCGTGACAAAAATGTCAGTTCAAAACTTTTGCCAAAAACACTAATGAATCACTTACACCCTCAGCCTATCACTCCTCATAATGTTAAATATTAGTATAATCAACATGTATAATACACACACACATATTATATGTTATATATAATCAACATTCAGATTCACCTCCTGTGACCTTGCCTCTTCACCTGAACTACAACATGGCTGATCTGCTTCTGTCCCCTAATAAAAAAACATTGAGGGATTCCTTATGAGCACTGACAGAGAATGCCTCAGCCTATTATTGGTAACAATGTTAAATCTCAGGACAACTAGGTATAATAATATCAAGTCATCGTTCAACATCACCTGTGACCCCTTCTCTCCATCACTGTCTGATACACAGCACAGTTGTTTAGGTTCTGTCACCTGACAAAACAGGATAAACACATGCCATTTATGTCACACCCCGCTCCGTCCGCTCCTAATGTGTGCCACGCCCACCTCGTTACCTCGTGTTCAGCCCTAATTGTGATCACCTGTGTCCTGTTATTTCTGGTTTGTCTCTTGTATTTAGTCCTAGTCTCAGTCAGTCTTGTCAGACTTGTCATTGTAGTGTCACGTTGGATGTCCGTGCCTGTCCCTCCCTCCCTAAATAAACCCCGTTACCTGAACTCCTGGCTGCAACTCGCCTGATTTCTGGTTCGTCGGATCCCTATGCTGACAATTTAAACAGCAATCATTTTATTTCACCTTTTCTGAGTCTTAGTGTGCAAATCTCGAATCAAATCATTAATGTTATTTGCCAAGTCAGTGAATGCATTTTAAAAACTATTTGTGCGAAGTGGATTGTCTATTGGTGAACTGTCAATAAAATTCTAGCCATGGCAATATTAGTATGTAGCATATCAATTTCTTGAAGGAAGTGGATTAAATTATTGGTGGGGACATTTCAATGGTCAGAGGATATTGGTGGGGACACATCCCCTCCGTCCACCCTAAATCTGCGCCCCTGGTGCAGCTAGACTGAACTTCCAATGGATGCCCAGGTACAAGTGTAAGCAGTATTGGTACAAAACCAAGAGCTAGACAACATCTTACAAGCAAAGCAAGAACCTAATATGTCCACTATTCAAATCAGCAGAAACTGTAACTTAAAGAGGATCCAGAAAACTTCGCTCATTACGTCATAAATTTGTTTCTGTTATGAGCCTTGGGATCCACTAACATTAGCAGAGGATCAGTTTCCCCATCCATGCAGAGACCCTGTTTGGATGGAGATGTACTGCCACTGGCTCACAGGCTGTTAGATCATTGCTGTTCTTCAATTCACACCCTCTTCTGTTCAGTCTCTGAATTTATATTGCAGTCGTTTTTCTGGGATGGGGAATGGAAATTTTTCACACATTTTCCACAGACTGGGAGCCCCTACCATAGTCAACACGGCCAACTCCAGCACACGCACATGAATGAGGTATCGATTTCATCAGTCATTAAGGTTTTCATATTATGTCCAAAAT